CCAAAAAATTTCAATGATCTATCAAGGTGTTTGACAGATAAAAATTGGAAGCAATTACTGCTGATAGACACAGCAGATTCATTTAATATTAAGTTTGTCATTAAGAATAACGAAACCAAAGCTGTAATTTTTATCGACAAAAATTGAACAGAGTCACTTATAAAAGAAATAAGTGAAAAATTAACTATTTTTGTGGATGAAACGTTCGCAACGGTCCCACAATTACAAAATAGTAGTTGTTAATTGTGGACAATTTTAATTAGACATAATAATAGAGTAAGCAAAACAATGCAGTTAGTTTATTTATGAAGTAATTATTTCATTTAATTGCAAAACGCACTCTACGTAAATATATGAGTAAATTAAATTGCTTTCAAATTTCAGACATTTCCAATTGTCTACGCGATTATGGAAGGACGCACTACCGATAATTATATAGACGTCTTAGGAAAAGTTACCGATGTTGTCAAAATAGCACCTGACATAGCAATAGCGGACTTCGAAAAAGCTGAACGAAAAGCGCTACAGACGGTTTTCCCCAATGTTCAAGTCCATGGCTGCAACTTTCATTATAGTCAAGTAATAAAAAATAACAACGCAAATAATAATAATAAACGTGAAATACATTTCAATTTTCCTTTTATTGCTTTATTATAGGCGTTAGTACATAATGCTGACAAACACAAGATACTCAAAGACGACCAAAAAGAATTGGGTTGGGGTTCAACCAAGTTATTGATACCTTTGGCTTTCTTGCCCGAACAATTAGTAGAAGAAGGCTTTAAAATAATTGATACAATTATTTTCGACGATTGCAAGTACTTGCAATCATTTTTTAATTATTATTGGGGTACATGGCTGAATGGCTTTAAGCCCGGTTCGTTCTGTATTTTTCAATGTTTCAGAGAGACATAACCGGGAACTTCTAGAAAGCTTAAATAAACACTCGAGAATTGTAGAATTTTTAGGTATATTATGAACGCTTCATTGTAAACACTTTTTTTCAGAATATTACTGTTTTTACAATTCAATATTATTTACAGTTCATCTGACTGAGCATCAGAAAAATATTAGAAGTTTGTTAAAGCACTCGAAATTTTGGGCAAGATTAGAACGCAACAAATTTCAACAAAGAGAGGCTAAAATACAAAAAATTTGGAATGAAATAGAAAGTACACAAGAGTTAGACTTATTACTAATATTACATTCATTATCAGAACTAGTTGGAAAAGGAGGAATGGATTCATCAACATTTTAATGCCTTGAGCACATTCTTCTTTTAATTTTTCTTGGTGGCTCTTGTGTCGTTTATTTAAAATATATGATTTTTAATCTTACTACAGTTGTTTCCTTTAAAGATCAATCCGCAATTTTTTGGAAAAGCTTTCCACTTCCGATCTCCAACCCCATTAACCATTATTGCAGAGGCAAATAATCCTGTAGGCAATAAATCCTGTTTGCTGAAAGATAAAAAACACATACATCAGTCAGTAGACTACATGATAAGGTGACAATGAACATCGAGCAGGTCTGTCGATGAAAGATTAACGGTAAACATCGATTTTACGAACCTGCTCTCGGTTTGTTGCGTCAATCTGTCGTCGCGCGCATTGCTATTAACAGATCTACTCTGATATTCGCCGTTAGGATATGATTCCAATTTTTGTTTAGCATTTGGCAACGTTACTCTTACTCCACAGGGAACAGGGATTTTACATGCACGTGGTTAGCTGGAAAGCTAGAACAAAAAAATTAATTATTTACATAATCTTTTATTTTATGAGAATATTAGCTAATTATCTGATAGATTTGTCTATTCTTCATTTACCTCTTTCTATCTTCCTCCGTTTATGCTTCTTATATCTTTGCACAGGTTTTATTCCGCAGTTGAAGATAATGGCAAACTGATTCCAGAGTGCGAAGAACGATGCTACAACTATATGAGTAATATTTATCGAAAAACATTGAAAAAATTAAAAAATATTAATTACTAATAATAATAATAATAATAATATTAATAATAATTTATTTATAATTTTTTACCTCGTTTATCCTGTATGCACTTTGTTTTTTGTCATTTTTATTTAATTTAATTTTATTTAAGTGCCACAATGTATTTTACATTTACATTTATAAACTATTACAGTCGTAACATATTTATTATACACGCGTGCACATTATATGTCAAAATGTAAAAAAAGTTACGCAAACTGACAGCTATACCACTTCAACAGTGTTGCTAACCCGTAGAAATTATTACGACGCTCTTAGGGATTTTCGTTGGTACCAACATTATCCCCTCTACTTTTCGGGAAACTGTCGTGTAACCCACAAAAGTGTGTTGAAAAAAAAGTTCATCGGATTATTATGAAACTTGATACCCTTATGTTTTTTGGGTCTCTGAATCCGAATATGATGTCAGATTTACAAAATTCAAAATGGCGGGTCCAATATGGCGGATCAAAATAACAAAAAATAGGCGAAATTTTATTATTATTTTGAATTTTGAAAATCTGACTTTATATTCGGATTTAGAGACCCAAAAAACATAAGGGTACCAAATTTCATGAAAATCAGACCTTTTTTGGTAATTTTGATCCGCCATATTGGATCCGCCATTTTTCATTTTGTACATCTGACTTCGGATTCGTAATCAGCGATCCCAGAAACCCCCGAGTAACAAGTTTCAAGCAAATTCAGAAAGTTTTACTTTGTTTTTTCTACGTTGCGGCTATAGCCGTCATACATAGTCAACGGGTTAACTAAAATGCTATAGTGTACGCATAGAGATATAAGAATAGAGTACGCGAATCATATGCTAGCACGTAAGAGGCTGCGATATAGGAATAGAAAAAAAACGCTGCATATAGGCCCTTTCTGTCTTTGTCTACGCGTGCATGCGAAACAAAGACAGAAGGGGCCCATGCGCAGCTTTCTCTTTTTATTCTGCGCAGCTTTCTCTTTCTATTCCTATATCGCTTTTTCAGCTCGCTCGCGCACTCTATTCTTATATCTCTATGAGTGTACGTGACGTAAACTATAGATTTTAGTTACCCAAAGTGACGTTTGGAACGCAACCTGGCGTGATCTTTATCACTGTGTGATAAAGCTCTTGCAGTGTCAGAATAGATGTATACATAATGGATATGATAAATATTAATGAAATAGAGGACATTAATTTGTCAAGCGAAGATGAAGAAGTGCAAATTCGTGTTCCGAAACGATATATCCGCGATGGCGAAAATCCTTTCGAGTTTTATAATGAATTGGACGTCAAAAAAAGATTCCGTTTTGCAAAAAATTCACATATGTTTAGTATTTTACCGTTAATAGAAGAAGGACTTTCAAAAATTAACACGCGTGGTTTACCAATAACACCAGTTTTTTCAATTATTAGTATTTCTGTACGATTTTATGCAACACAGCAAGTTTTCAGGTTAGTTCAAATTGTATTGCAGTTTAATTAAATTCACAATTATATAAATATTAAAAATCTTTTATATAAGGTAAAAATATGTAAATATATATGAATATATAAATATTTGTAAATGTAAAATATATATATTGTTGCGAGAATAATATCGGTTTATTTTTATAGCTTGTCATGGGAGATGTAATAAAAGTATCGCAACCTACAATCTCAAGAATTATTTTTTGAGTGTCAATTTTGTTAGTCAGTCATATTAATGTATACATCAAGATGCCACTATCAGCTGTAAAAAGGATTGAAAATAAACGTTTATTTGAAGAGCTTGGACGTGTTGAAGCTATAGGTTTATCTTCTTTTAGTGGAGCAATCGATTGCACGCATATTCGACTGACACATACTAGATTTCAAGCCATTGATGAAATATTTAAAAATCGAAAAGGATATTTTTCGTTAAATGTTCACACACACAAGTAAGTATTTTAACAGTTTTAATTTATCCCTTCGTTTTCTACCGACACGTGTGTGACTGCGATATTCTCGTTTCTGTTCCAAGATGTGCGACTCTCCGTATCCACACCGTCTTGCTACGACTTTTTAATTAATGTATATATTGTATTTTTGACTGCTGCAGAACTTGAGTGGAAATGTCCACCATAATCGTGTGTACCAGCTCGTTTATCACGACATCTCTCCAGGAAGGGAGTTTGCTACCTCGAGCCCTGCAGAAATAATTTTCTGTTTGTGCTAATAAAGCTGAAGATGGCTCAAAGGAAGAGCCAAAACGTTCTTTACTTGTAAATACACGTTTTAATTTTTATTGCGCACCACGTTCCGCGCTTGACTCGCATCGCCGTTTGTACAGATGACATTTTCACGAGTCTAGATATATTATTAGTTTTAATTTAATTTTAACATTACATAATATCATTACATACTTAATATAAAAAAAACGTTACATTAGTAATTACATATTAGTACATAATAATAATATTTAGAGCAAAATAAAATTAAACAAAAGAAAATAAAAATAAAATAAAATGTATATAATTTGTACATGGTTGTACTTTATTACACGCAACTGACTAAAGCGGGGAGCATAAACTTTTGCATAACATAAATGCAAAAGTCTGTGCTCAGGCTTTAACATTCTAACATTAACATTAACAGGGACTGTTTTTTCTTATAGCAATGTAATTTATTTTTTTACGGATAAGTCTATATTTTTCTTATCTACGTCGGTATTTTTGAGCTTTGATTTCTTTATTTCTATTTCTATTTTTTGTATTTCTTTTAAATGGTTCACGTGCAAATCGTTAAATAATTTTAAATGCTCTTTTTTCATAAGTGTTATTTTCTTCTTCGTGTTTTAACTTAATGTTTGCTAATGTTTCTTCTTGTTTTATAACATTTTTTAATCTTTGTATTCGTACGTCCTCTTCTTCATTTGATACTTCGAGCAGATCTTTTCTCTTTCGTTTAAAAACACGTGATTTTCTCATATCGTTATTTAAATGTACTTTTAACATATCTGTACTGTGTGATGTCATCAGTTCTTCATTACAGTCTTCTGCAATAATAACTGTTCTACAAAACACAAAAAGATATATAGTGTTACACGTGTATTTTGTACTTGCCGTAGTCAAAGAAATACGCTTTAATGGATAAATATATAACAAAACGTTTATAAAATAATATCTTGCGAAACAGTAGTGCTTTCTACATCATCTATGTTTATCACATGTCCCTTTTCTTTCGTAAATAATACTTCTACGCTTTTGTTAGCAGACATGATATCAAATACAAACTCACGTTGATCTGAAATGCACAAAATAATGAAAGTTTATTGTCATGTTTGATATATCAAAAGCATGTGTTGCTGAGACAGCTTAGCCGTAACTTTAACATACGGTACATACGACAATGTCTTACTTTTGGTGACCTGTAGTATAAGAGTTAAAAAATATTCTTACAAAAACTTTATTCTAAAGTCTAAAAGTCTAACAGTTAATTAATATATAATATACCATTACGTTCTTTTTCCGTCATATTAGATGAAAATATGACTGGTGCGGTTTTCATCA